TTCTTTTTATTGAGGAAATTGTGTGATAAGTAAACTTCTGATATAATGCTTTTTTTTAACTACTTGATTCTTGTAGCTCTCTACAAAATTAAAAATCGGGAGGACAAGGTTTTGGTCCTTTCGGACCCAGTATGCTCCTGGTTCTTCTACCTGTGAAATATTTTCCGAATTCCTCATTCATTGTTCGAATAGCGAGATATGCCTTATTGCTAATTTGTGTTGGGAGTATAAATACCTAAGATCAAAATTTCTGTATGGACTTTGACAAACAACCATATCGTTTCTCAGCATCATTGCTGGTTCAAAGGCTACAATGTATCCCTTATAACAAATTGGAGTCCTCACCCTTGAGAGTGGGATAATCTCTTCACGTATTCTCTTTCTCTTATAACCTCATTCATTTTCTCATTTGTGTCATGTTCCTTTCTTTAGTTTTCTTCTCAACCTCCTTAACTGATCTTCCATTTGTAGAGAAAAATTCTTCTTATATTAATTGGTTATCAATAGCAAATGATGAAAAATCCTTTCCTCAAATTTCAATTCCTTGTTTAATCATAGAAATGTATTTAATATGCATGGAATTGGGGAGTTTTATTGTATCCTTAATAACGTCAACATTTTTTATTGTATTGTTACAATGTGAAATTAGGAAATATGAAATTAGAAAATTGACTTATGCTGTCCTATTAACAATAATATGCCGCCTTTAAATTGTAATTTAAACATACATTAAAACATTGTCTTGAAACAATAATTTAAGCCCATGTTGAAACTTATAAAATATTGCATTGCATGGGCTACTGACTAGTTACTTTATGAGTTTTAGTAGTTCAAAGGCTGGTAATTATCTGTTTCTACATTGCTAAACCTTTGAATCAAGTTCTTTTGGTTGTCTGGTTGCCTTAGGGTTTAAGGTAGCTTGAAACAATTGATTATAGGTTTCAGGAGATACAGGTGGGGAATATCTTGAGGTGATTTGTGTTGTTAGAAAGGAGTTGATTTATTTAGTTGGAGTGTATACCTGTAATGCAATTTTAAGCAGAAGTGCTATTCAACTTTAGAAAAATAGAATTGTCTTTTTAGCATGTTCAAGGTTGATGGTCAATATCTGTTTCAAGGGACTGTTGTTGACGGATGATCTAGTAAAGAAATAGTTGCTTGACCATTATGTGTTTTTCTTTTTAAGGGTTCTTTGGAGAAGTCTTCCGTGGCATATGGAATGGCACAGATGTTGCAATCAAGGTTTTCCTAGAGCAAGATTTAACTGCTGAAAATATGGAAGATTTTTGCAATGAGATATCTATTCTCAGGTATCCTGTCTTTTTTTTTTTTTTTTTGTAATGTAGGTATCCTGTCTTTGATATGCTGTTTGTCAACATCTTTCTGTTATATCCAACATTTTCTGACTGTTTCTTTTCTTTCTGAATTTTGGTATTTGTTTTCCTCCAGTCGGCTCAGACATCCTAATGGTATTCTCCGACATCCTAACTATTTACTTTTATAGTTATGACTTTCACATTGGTCTTGCACATTTTGTTTTATAGATTTGGCAATTAATGGAACAGAATCTGGATTATTGTCTTTTATTGTTTCAATCGGAAGAATTATTTTTGTTAAGGGAAAAGAAAGGGAAAGGGAGAGATGTATCATGGGATCCGTATGTCTCAATTACACAGTGAAGGGTGAATTACGTAACCAAGAAGTTATAAATTCAAAGATCGGGAATACCCTAACTACTATAATTTCATGATTTGGTCAGCCTATACAATGAAGCTAGCATATTTTCACACTTCCCAACAATTTTAATGAAATCTTCCTTGCTCAAAAGTGAGGAAAATATTATCCATGCATTGTTTTAACTTTTAAGAATATCTCTTGTAGCATCTCGCTTAGCTGTTATTTATCTGTTGATGAAATTTTATGCAGTTATCTTATTTCTTGGGGCATGCACAAAGCCTCCACGTTTGTCAATGGTTACAGAATATATGGAAATGGGATCATTGTATTACTTGATACATTTGAGCGGTCAAAAGAAAAAGCTTAGTTGGCGGAGAAGACTTAGGATGTTGCGTGACATATGCAAGTAAGTATTATGGTTATTTATACTTTTCAGAATCTTATCCTCTTCATGGGCCTTTATGCTAAACAGGTGTTACACATCAATTACTGCATCTGTCGTTTTCCAATAAATAACATAAAATTTCCCTGTCCATTCAGTCTCACGTGAGAAATCACTATTATTTGTGTTTCATGACCTTTTTTTTCCTTTTTTATTCTTTCAATTGGATGAAGACAATGATTAAATGAATTCATTTAACCGTGGAATAGTGAGACGGAAGGAACTCATGGTGAATAAGGAAAAGTGCCTTTCCCCGTGATGAAAGATTACTGGGCTTTACTGCTCATTAGAAATTTTGAGCTTTATATATATCACCGCAGGTTATGAAATACCGGATAACCTACCATTGCAGTCAAGCCATTATTTGTTGGATTGAAATTGTTTTATAAGACTACTGCCAGTGTCATCAAATTTCTTGTATTATCTTTTATTTTATTTCTAATAATGTGTTGGGTGAGGACGTATTACCTCATTTCAAATCTTAATTGTTTCGCGATATTGGAAAGATTACATTTGATCGGTAAACATTGATAGAACACCTTGGTCGTGTGTAGGGGTTTGATGTGCATACACCGTATGAAGATTGTTCACCGTGATCTGAAAAGTGCAAATTGTCTAGTGAATAAGCATTGGACCGTGAAAATCTGTGATTTTGGGCTTTCAAGAATAATGACAGATTCTCCTGTGGGAGATCCTTCATCGGCTGGAACTCCAGAATGGATGGCTCCTGAACTTATACGAAATGAACCATTCACCGAAAAATGTGATATCTTTAGCCTTGGGGTGATAATGTGGGAGCTCTGCACCTTAAATAGACCATGGGAAGGCGTACCGCCTGAGAGGGTATAATCAACATATGATCTGTTCATTTTCCGTGTTGATTTCTATTTCTGTTGTGTGCTTTATTGACAATTTTCCATTTTGCTGATCAGGTAGTTTATTCCGTTGCTAACGAGGGTTCCAGATTGGAGATTCCTGAAGGACCCCTAGGCAGGCTGATTTCAGGTCCCTGCAACTTTCCTTTTATTTTATGTTAATGGCAGAAGTCCATCTGGTTTAACCTAATTACTTCCGTTTTTTGGTCTGCAGACTGTTGGGCAGAATCACATGAGCGGCCAAGTTGTGAGGAGATTCTTTCTCGTTTGGTGGATATCGAGTACTCATTGTGCTGATGCAATCTATATCTTTTGTACATAGAAAACTTCGGGTAGAGTTGATACATTATGTTATCGGCTGATCTTATGGACTACTGTGAATTTTGTTCTTTTTCTCAGAACATACGAAAATATGAATCGCTGCTCCTGGATGTCTTACCCCTGTGCCACAAACTCCTCTCTTTTTTGTGCAATGAAAATAACAAATCTATTTCTAGTCCTAGTAGAGAATGGTTTATTCTTGCCTCAAAAAATCCCAAATCGAAATCAACAAAGAATGTGAAGAATAAAAAATGTTAGTCCATAAAGAGAGAGACAGATAGGGAGATCAAACTGTTGATTGTGGTTGAAGAAGATTGAGAGTGGAGCTAAGGATGATGGAGATTTGGGGACGGAGGGAGATGAAAAGAAAAAAAAGCCAGCTCCGCTGTGGGAGGGGGATTGAAAAAGAAAAGAAAAGAAAAAACGAAGGAAATACCAGCTCCGTACGCGGACGGGTTGAAAAAAAACAGATAAAAAAAGGAGTTCCGTTAAGGGTGTTACTCAAACCCGTTGGACTTATTTAGTTCATTGATTGAATCTCTAATTGCTTTAGTGGGAAGAGATAATGGGCTTGCTAAGTGCTATTATGGTCTAAGAAAGATTTGTGGGGATGACGTATCCTCTTACCTTGTTGAGAATACTTTATATTGGCAAGCTAGCTATCCCTTTTTCAACTGGCAAGCACAGTAAAAGCGTCAAAAGGTTCTCTCATTCTTCATTGTTCAAAACAGGGTCAATGATATTTTCAAATTTAGTTTTACAACGATATTTATAAAGATATTCAATGAAAGATCCAAAAAAAAAAAGTAAGGGAATTTTTTTCAAGAGTCTAGAGCAAAAAAAACTCGCGGTGAAGTTACCGTAGCCCATAAAGCTCACAATTAACCTCCAAATATAGAATTTTGGAATAGTTCATTATCCATAGTATTTATTAAGAGTAGCTTTATGGTGGATAGGTGGTGTCCTAATAATCCTTCCAAATTGGCCAAGTCAGAGTAGGAAATGGCAAAATCAAACAGTGATATGTATGTAGTCAAGCCTGATTGATAAAATTATATGCATAAATATTGAAGTAGGACCGGATATTAATTATTACTACTGTGGTTCATGATGTGTTCGAGAAAATCTCTAGTACTCTCGTCCTATGTGCATCCTACCAATAAGAGTGCCATACATTTTATTTTTTTTAAAAGGAGAGAATTTTTTTAAAAAATTATAATTATGTATTTTTTTAAATACATAATTTATAATTTCATTTTAAACTACCGTCCCAGGGAACTTCCTATTTGATGGGTAATCTATTTAAGCCTACATGTTTTGTACACTGTACAGTGTACGTTCCCGAGTTACCTTCCCTCCCAGTGTTGCACCATCATCCAAACAAAGGATAGCCACAGCTGAACCAGGTCCTATTACAAGCCCAAGAACACGAACTCACGTTCACCCCAAAGAGTTAGGTTCAATCATGGGTCTTCTCCCTGAATAAACAAATACTAATATGGAGCAGTTGGGCCCAAATTCTAAACCAAAAGCCCATAACATTTTTCTCTACTGTCCAAAGCTTATCATGGATCAAACAATTCGAAATTAGTATCAGCCCATGGGCTTTCCCTTAGAAACCAACGGAAAAAAAAAGAACAAGAGAAGAGAACAGTGCTTCCCGCACGTTAATCGTCTAACGTCGTATTACATTGGCAAAGGTTCCTCTGACGAACCGAAGTCACCGTACGTAATACTAATATGTCTGCCAACCCAACCCAATTACCACTATCGCCACCGTTTTGAAACACACACACACACACTCCACCGCGCATCATGGAATCCATCGCCGAGGCTCCGCCGCACGCCGTCACACCTCTGTCCTCGCGGCCGTCTCCGTCGCCGTTCCACGGTCGGGAAGACTGTTGGTCCGAGGAGGCCACGTTCACCCTCATCGACGCCTGGGGAGAGCGCCACCTGGAGCTCAGCCGCGGCAACCTCCGCCAGAAGCACTGGCAGGAGGTCGCCGACGCCGTCAACGCCCGACACGGCCGCGCCACGAAGGCGCGCCGCACCGACGTCCAGTGCAAAAACCGAATCGACACGCTTAAGAAGAAGTTCAAGATCGAGAAGGCCAGAGTTTTCGAATCCGACGATTACGCCACCGCGTGGCCGTATTTTCGCCGCCTCGATTTCCTTATCGGAGAAAATTTTCCGGCTAAGAAGCACTCGCCGCCGGCATCCGGAAGAGATCGCAGAAACTCCCCTCTGTTGAAGCCCCCAGCCTGGGCGATCGTGCCGGTCGGTCCTCGATCCGGCACTCAAAAGCGGCCGCCGCCGCCGGATACGGCGGTGACGGCGACGGCAACATCCCCGGCAAGCATGAAGAATTCATACTTTCACCGGAATTTCTCGGCTTTCGCGGCAGTGGCAGCTGCGGCGGCGGAGGCGGAGGAAGAGGAAGAGAGTGAGAATTGGAAGTGGAGGAGTGGGAGTGAGAGGAGGAAGCGGAAAAAGGATTATTGGGAAAATGGGTACAAGGTGGTTGCAGAGGCGATAGAGAAGTTTGGAGAAATATATGAGAGAGTGGAGACAGAGAAGCATAAGCAAATGGTGGAGTTGGAAAAACAGAGGATGCAATTTGCTAAGGATTTGGAATTGCAGAGAATGCAGCTCTTCATGGAAACGCAGCTTCAGCTCCAAAAAATCAACCGGTCCAAGCGTTCTTCTGAAGCTGGTTAGCCTCTTATTATTATTATTATTATTATTATTATTATTTTCAAATTTGTGTTTCTTAGTAGTCATTGTATGTTGTTTATGGTTTTTTAGCCTGTCTTGTTGGTTACTGTTGCCCCCTTTACAAGTCCTGCTTGAAATGTGTTCTTATAAGTGGTGTCTCGTTGTGGTTGTATGCCAAGCATGAATCCTCATCTGGGTCATGTGAATCACAATTGTTAGGTTGGTAATTGTTTTTGTTTTTATTGATTTTAATATGGTTACTTTTGTAGCTTAGATGGAGTCATGGAGTTGTGACTTTTGATAGGCCTGACTATGGTCAGAGTTGTGTGTCATTAAAATGTCATAAACAACATCAAATATTTATATTCTTTCACTAATTTAAACGTAGTTTAAGAGGCCTGAAGCAGTGATGAAATTGCTCTTATGTGATTAAAAGCTGATGAATTGAAATTCAGAAAAATAATCTCGAGTAACGCTGCCGATAAGAATGAAAGTTGGAACTTGATAAGGTTGATACTATAGTGTATGACATATTGCAACATGAGTTAATTTAGGAGCTACTACCCACAGTGAGTACAGAGTGACTTGATTTTATGCATGATGTAACAATGATGTTTTTAGGTTATTTATTAGTTTTAAATGCTTTTTTTTTATGGCAAATATAAATTAAATAAGGTATAACAATGTGAAGCCGTTACCTCTGAAGTGGTTTGCTTTGCAATAGCAGTAGTTGCTGTAATGAACTGAAATTAGGTCGTCATATGAATTCATAATCAAATTTAATTGGGATTCTCCAAATGTATTATTTCTTTTTACAGAATTTTATACAATGCTCACTATTTCTTGTAGCCCTCTGTTCTATGCAATTAAAACAAATTCTTTCTAATTAATCTGTTTACTAGAAGGTTATATTTTGTTCAATTGTTTTTTCTATTCATGTCTCCTTGGAACATGGTTAGCTTAGTTATGGTTCTTTTTGGTTGCATGGCCATACTTGATCAACATTGCTTAAATTCATTAACATTGTGCCATATGGTTTTCTAATTGGAACCAAAATTGACTTTGCAAATTCAGTTTTGACAGTGACCTTACTGCATATTCACGTATTTGCCTTATTCACGAGACAGGAATCTCATTGTTATATTTTTTTTCTCCCCAAACAGACAGTTGCTGATAGCAAGAGGCGATGGAGACTCCTATTGGGAAGAATAGATAGATCTTACCTTTGCACATAGAAGCATATTTAGTCCTTTTTAACAAATTTTTTTTTTTTTTTTGGAAATGTATTTTTTACGGTCAAGTTCAAATTTGGTTGTATTTATAATTATAATAGTACAATACTTTATGTGAAGAAAATTTACTTTTGGTCGCACAAGAAGAAAAATTAACAAACAAATTGTGGATGGCTATTTGATTGAAAATTTTCTAAGTGAAGTTCAAATTTTTCAATTGTGATTATTGATTTTTCACTGGTAATTTTATAATGGAGCTGTCTCCGAATACTCAGTGAACCAACACTTATGTGGAAGCAAAGTTCAAGACCAAGTCTTTAACCACTTGTACTAACCCCGCATTGGTCAAGTCGACATGAATATCATCTGACCACAATTAATTGAATAAAAATAATGAAAAAAAAAGGCGCAAAGAGGAAGGACTACATTTCCTAAGGCGATGTGAAGTATTTTGTTAAGTATTTTAGATAAGGATAAAGGTATCCCACCTAACGGGTATTTACCTAATTTAAAATTTAAATTTATTTTCTTCTGTTTAAAATATTTGAATATATACGAAAATAAACATATTAATATTTTTGTTCTTATGTGTGTGATGAAGGAGGATTTATTGTCATCTTCTTACTATATAGAAAGGAGAACCGAACTTTTGAAAATTAGCTGAGGTGTCGCATTCTCCTTAAATCTCAGTTTTCTGTTCACACTAGAGGATGTCTTGAAAACTTACTTCTTTTCGATATAGTGAACAAAATATGTATGTTTGAATTTCTGTTCACACTAGAGGATTCTTCCGTTTTAATGTAAAAACAGCTGAATCATTAAAACAGGTGAGTGATTTCATTTCAAATTTCAAAATTTTAAATCAGCTGACTCATTAGGTATTTTTGGGAGTTAATTAAGATCATAATGGTTAAAATGTTTTGAAATTTTCTATTTATTCATTGCATGTATAAAGACGATATTTGGTGTTGCTTTTGCCTTTTGGTCTGCATCACTTCCACGAGCATTTTGTATCTTCTTTGGTCCATTTCTCTACTCCTCCAATGTATTCAATGTCCTCAAAATATGACTTCGTAAAGGATCTTAATCCGACGAAAGAAGAGTGGAGGATTAAAGTGCGTGTAGTTAGGTGTTGAAAGGTTCCCAGTTTTAATCAAAAAGATTTTGATGACAATGTGGATATGGTTTTGGTCGACGAACGGGTAATGTAATTTTTCTTTTTTTCAATGTTTTTATCTTTTCAGTAGCTCATTGTCGGTTTTTTTTTTTTTTTTTTTTTACTTTGTTGCGTGTTTTCATTTTATAGGGTGGAAGGATCCATGCTACGACCAAGGGTACTTTGCAGGTTCGGAAGAAAATTCGTGAGGGTGATGCTTATTTTATAAAAAAAATTGGAGTTGGGTTGAATACGGGTAATTTCAGGCCAACACGGCATGAATATCGTCTGTCTTCAACTTGAGGACGGACGTGAAATCCATTGTTGATGCTACGATTCCTGAGCGTGGTTTTGATTTTGCTGAATTTGACGTTATTGAGAAAGAATCCTCTGACTCTCCTTGTTTAATAGGTGATGGGATTGTTGTATTGTGTTATTCGCTTTCAATTAAGATTTTGTATATAGGACGTAAGGCTGAAACCCATGTTATTGTTGTGTAGACGTCATTGGTTTGCTGTCTGGAATTGGGGAAGTACGTGAACATGTCATCTCTGGTAGGAATACAAAAATGGTTGTCGTGGAGCTTGACAACCTGAGGTATTTATGTTATCTATATTTCTGATAGTATTGTAATGTAATTTCTTATGTGTTTTTGAATTTAAAGAGAATGGGATTTTACATCATTTCTTATGTGTCTTTTGTTTCTATATCATGATAGGGGTCAGAAACTTGAATGCACTTTGTGGGAGTCATACGTAGACGAGGTCCAAACTTTCTTAGCAAAGAATCAGAGTGCTCAAAATGTTATAATACTTCAGCTTGCAAGGATAAAGGGTTTTAGGGGTACTTTTTTTGTGATTAAAATTCTCATTTTTTGTTTTTTTGTTTTGCTGTTTTACTTTTTCTTTTATTTACGTAGCATTTTTTTTTTCCAGGAAAGATTGGAATAGCTAATACAAAGTATACGACGAAAATTCTTTTTGATTCCAATATACCTGAGATCGTAGAGTTCAAAAAAAGGTGGGCTACCGTGAGAAATTATGAGGCATTTCTTTTGCTCTATTCACTCATTCTTTTATATATTTTTATATTCCAGGCTTTCCGGTGATCTGATGGAAAGTAGTCAGATGTTGACTCAGTTGTCCAGCCCATCTTCATATTCTTATGAAAATGATTTTCTCAAGGATACAGAGAGGAAATTTCTTACTGATATTAAGAATTGCATAGATGCTACTACTTGCATTACTTATGGAACTGTAAAATCCATCGAAAGTAAATACAACTGGTGGTACAGGTCCTGTAAGAAATGTCCATATTCAGTGTGCGAAGATTTTGACAAATGGTATTGTAAGAACTGTCAGAAACATTGGAATGAATATACTCCGAAGTAAGCCATTTTTTGATTCGCCATTGTTATCGAAAAATTATTCATGCACACTGTGTGACTGATGTAAAATTCAATTTTTTATTTTTTTAGGTTCAGTGTTCAAGTCAGAGTTATTGATAACACAGATTCTTCTTCTTTCGTACTATTTGATAGAGACTGTCTTTCTTTATTAGGAGTGAGTGCTGCTGAATTGCGCGAGCAACATTTTAAGCGGGTTTGGTTCTCAAAACTTTGAATTTTTTTATTAGTGAGGTTCTCAAAACTTTTAACACCCTTAGTACTCCTTTTGCTGTGTTTCCTTTTTTGTAGGGTGCAGATTTAGAACATTATCCGGAAGAGTTGAACGTTCTTAAAGATAGATCTATGTTGTTTCAAGTGAATGTCAAAATTAGCAATTTGAACTCATACAGTGAGCCAAAATATCATGTGGCCAAAGTTTGCATCAGTGAAAGTATTATCACATCATTTCTGAAGACCACGGTGGACCCAAATGTTTTTTTTTTTTTATTATTCATAACCTATACTTTTCAAAGTTATGACTTTTTTGCGTTTATGGAAAAAACATTTCAGGATGATTCTGTATTTGACAGTCCTTCTGATGATAATATTATGTCGATAGGGTCAGGAAAAGCTGTGGTGAGTTGGTATTATTGACATAATTGGAAAATTTGATTGCCATATCCTTATATTAATAGCGGTCATAGTCATTTTGTTGACAGGATGTTCAGAGCCAAACCTGTGATAGTACTGATGATGCTGATATTTCTCTCACTTTGTTGTCACCATCTGTGAAGTATGATGATGTTGTTGAAGATAAAAATAATTGTTCAGTTGTTCGTCCTCTTAAAAAAATAAAGCTGGAGAAAGAGTTAAGTTCTGACTATAGATATTATAAAGTTTACGTGATTTATAATTTCATCCCTCTCACTCTGTGTGCCTTTTTGTTTATTTTGGCACAGTTTTGATGCTGCAGCCGGTGACACTTTGGAGCAGAAAGAAAATCTGTAACTATGCTTTGGTCGATTTTTTGTAAGGAGGAGCTATTGACATTTTCCTTATTCTGTTGCCTATTATCACGTGTTGAACTTTGACAGTGTACCAAGGCCTTAATATTTGTTTTTAAATATTTTGATATCAACTTCGCTTCTTCATTTTTAACAAAGTTTGCAAAAAAAATTTCTTTTAATATTTTGTTATCAGCTTTAGTACGACGTGTGAATTTCTTTAGTACGAGGTGTTTCAGTTTTAGGGATATCATTTGAAATTCACCATTATACCAATTGTTAACAATTAATTTCATTATTAGTAATTGCTTGACGTTTCGTTTGAAGTTATTTTTAATGCTCCCTTGAATTTCGAATTAGTGTGTTGGACTTTTAAATTTTTAAACAAATTAATAAATGCCAATAAAAGCGGTAGATTGGTCGATTTTTTTGTAACAAGGAGCTATTGACATTTTCCTTATTATGTGGCCTATTATCATGTTTTGAACTTTGACAGTGTACCAAGGCCTTAATATTTGTTTTTTAATATTTTGATATCAACTTCGCTTCTTCATTTTACCAAAGTTTGCAAAAAAAAACTTAAAAGTAATTGAATAAAAAATTAATTTATAATATTTAAAATATTTAATAATTCCCATGTAAAAACAGCTTAAACATTAAAACAGGTGAGTGTCAGCTGACTCATTAGATGAGATGACCAATTCCAATGTGAAGGTAAGTGGCGCATTAAATGTTTTGTCTACCACCTCATTTGTCTTAAATTATTAGAAATTTTAAATCAGCTAACTTATCGAATGAGATGACCAATTTCAATGTGAAGGTATGTGGCGCATTAAATGATTTGTCTGCCACCACATTTGTTTTAAATTATTAGAAATTAAAATTGATTTCCGATTTTTAAAAGATAAATCGAAAAAATTAATTGAATAAAAAATTAATTTTCGTTTTTTTTCGTATTTTAAAATATTTAAAATATTTAATAATTCCAATGTAAAAACAGCTGAGTCATTAAAATAGGTGAGTCATTCCATTTCAAAATTCAAGATTTTACACCACAACTTATTGAATAAAAAATTATATTTTCCGGTTTTTTCGTATTTTAAAATATTTAAAATATTTAATAATTCCAATGTAAAAACAGCTGAATCTTTAAAACAGGTGAGTGATTCCATTTCAAAATTCAAAATTTTAAATCAGCTGACTCATTAGATGAGATGACCAATTCCAATGTGAAGGTAAGTGACGCATTAAATGTTTTGTCTGCCACCTCATTTGTTTTAAATTATTAGAAATTTTAAATCAGCTGACTCATTAAATGAGATGACCAATTTCAATGTGAAGGTAAGTGGCATATTAAATGCTTTGTCTGCCACCACAGTTTGATATACTATTTTGATATACATGGTTTTAATATTTCTACAGATAAGTTATCTACACTCACTTTCAAAATGACGTCGTTTTGAGTTGAAAAATAAAAACTTATAATGAAAAAGACTATTGTAACTTTTAATTACAAAAACACTTTGATTTTCGCCCTAAAACGATGTCGTTTTACGCTCAATGTAAATAACTTATCTACATTGACTGTAGAAGAGACGGATCCTTTAAAAATAGGGTTTAATGTTTCTGCTTTTGCTACTTATAAAAAAGTGAGTAAGTTTCATTATAAAGAGAAGAGAGAGAGAAAATATCAATGGAATGTGAATGTGGCAGACAAAAATGTTCTGCAACAAAAAGCAGAAATATTTTTTCCTTAAAAATATTTATCAATATTAAAGTTTTTATTTAACATATATTCTTTGAGCTTTTTGGAATTCAATTTTATGTCAAAATTTAAATGACATATATTATTTTTTATTCTTTGATAGACTGATATTTTATATAATGGTAAAACACATAAATTTTCTGTTACAGCTCATAATTTTTTTTTAAAAAATTATATATATAATCATTGCTTGTAGAATGTTTAAAGAATTTGAATTCTTGTTATTGGTCAGAAAAAAAGATAAAGTTTACTTTTAAAATTGCTTTTTAATCACGTTAGCTATTTTAAAAGATAAATTTATTCACCTAACATTAACAATTCAATAAAAACATTAATTGCGCAAAGCTCTTCGTGTAATGTTTAACACAGTTGCACCGTGACTCGAACTCGAAATAACATAAGATTTTATTTATTTTTTGATAAATAACACAAGATTTTTAATAGAGAGTAAAACAGGGAAAAAATTAAATATTATTTTAATAAAAATTTACGAAAAATAAAACTATAGCACTCAAACACGCCCTATAAGGGCCTGGCCGATTGCAGAGAGACACTTTCCACAAGTGGCATGATAAAGTTAACAGTTTGACTGTAAAACTTTGAAAGTCCATAACTTTTTGACTCGAGTGTCCGAATTAGGTATTTTTTTTTCCACACAATTTTTTGAGACCTACGTAATGACACTTCATTTGACATATTTTGTCTCTCACAAAAAAAGTTCAAATTTACAACAATGATACTATAAGAACGTTTAACCCAGATTAATAAAGAGAAAAATGTTGTCATGATTAGAAACATTCATAGTAAAGTTCCTTATGATTATGGTACTATTGTTGCAAATTATGATTATGATACTATAAGTATTCTCTCTATTGCATGAGAGTTCTCTCATATTGCATGAGATTAATAAAGCATAAAGAAAAATGAGGCACATTTTTCTATATGAAAGTAACATGAGAGAGTAATCTCATATAACATGAGATTATAATTTGCCATATTTATATATGGCAATGGCATTGTTAGTCTCATGTTGCTGGAAAAAATTATTTCTCGAGCTGACCTAGTGATACCTAAGCTTCATTTTCTTTCTTTTTTATTTTAAAATTGATGGGCCCCACATTGGTTGTCTTTATAGCATAAGATAGAAATTGTCCTGAACTTGTTTTTCATATATATATATGAATGTGTTATTCTTCCTATTTCTTTTTCTGCCTACTTTGCTTACTCCTTTGAATACCATTAGATTACAATTTTATCCAACAATGAAAATTCATGGGATAAAACAAATCCTTTTACAACGTTCTCTTTCTCATCAACGCCCACCCTCTCTCTCTCTTTCCTCCCTCCCCTCTCCCGGAAGACATTTGAATATAGCTTTGATGTCTCTTTTACAAACTGAAACATACAATTATGAAAAATTAGCCTTTTTATTTATTTTATTTTTTTTGAAATTCTTCATTACATTACAAAGAAATGAAATAATCTGGGAGAGGGAGCATAAAAAAACAACAGATTCATTGCGGGGTTGAAGACAACACGATGATGAGAGTGAGAAGATGAAGAAAAGGGGAAGGAGAAGAAGATTGAAGGTGAATAGGGTTTTGGAATCAACACTCCTATTCATAACATGGTGAAGCGTTGTGTGACAGTGGTGGACGAGTGACATGGTGGAGAGTTGTTTAACGGTGGTGTCACGGTTGTCCTGATTTGGGATGATGGAGTGTGATGGTGGTCAAAGGGGGCGAGAGGAGAGAGAGGGTGGGAGACAGTGTGTGTGTGTGAGAGAGAGAGAGAGAGAGAGAGAGAGAGAGAGAGAGAGAGAAAGGTGTAACACCTCGTGTGCACCCGGTGTATTAAACATACATACGGTAATGGCGCAGCTAAATAAATGCGAAAGCTAACTTTTTCTTTCCAATTATGTACATATTAAATTAACCAAGTTGATTACTTATCCTTTTTCAAAATATCGTCTGTATGTAAATTGCAATAAATAACTACAGTGAATAACCTCATTCAATAAATGTATATCTAGTCACGGAACTACAACACGTATACCGAACAATATTCTGATACATTATACAACTCAAGACAAAGCATAACTGACATCAATGTGGCATGGACAACCCTCATGCTCACCAAATAAGGCACATAGCCAAACAATGTCTCAAATCAAATAACAATGCACTGAAAGTAAAACATGAAGTAATATCCAGGCATATAATAAAAAACAGCATGCATAATCAGCTCATCTCTGGCCTCCTACCACCAGAGGTCTCAACCCCCGAGGTACCTGTACCTGAAAATGTGTCCCAACACGTGGTGAGATCTCTAAAAAGAAATCTCAGTAAGACAAGGGGTCCTCAAGGATTTGTCCACCCCAAGCTCACTTACATGTGCAATATAAGTTATAAAACAGGATAGCAGTATAATTTCATAATCTGTGCAATGCAACATATATCCATGTCATGTGTGTAAGTATCCTACTGGTCAGAGAATAAAAGGTAAGATTTATATACGTCTACAACCTATAGTACAAACTCCTCGCATGTACCTCACCCACAAAGTTACCATCTTGTATGTCTCCACATACTCAGGGGTTACTGTCTAGGTGGAACATCACATACATATCATATGGCTTTTGCACTTTTAAAGCAGCTCAATAGCATATCAATAATCATCACATATTTTCATACCAAAACACAACATGTATATAAACCATCCCTCCATTAGGTATGGTGGAACCAACAATGGGCAAAAACGAGGACACGAAAGCTTACCTGTAGTGCCAAAATCTCTATCCAAAGGCTTGGTAAAAACAGACAACCCAACAGTCTCACAACACGTCAATTGCAATCTGTTCGTATGAATACACAATTTAATATTCAGAAATCTCAATATCATAACCATTAAACAACGTCTTCTCTTTCGTTTGCATCCCTTTTAATTCATAATTATCACGCATTAAACCCCATTATTATAGGTATTAATGTTTTCCAACAGTAATACTGACTTCCTAGGGCATCGTGCCCAAATGGAAATCTTCCCACGCATTAAAACTGGTTTCTGGTCATTCTGACAGGGGGTAATCGATTACTATACATGGGGTAATTGATTACTGCACATGGTAGCTGATTACCAAAAACAGGGTAATTGATTACTTCACATGGTAACCGATTATCATACGAAAGGTAAATACCACACGGACAGAACAGAATTCTGCAGAATTTTTCTGCATAATC